TTTAATGCTGTAGGTATGAATTCATTACCTGCTGATTGCCCTGTTATCTGTGTGCACGTGTGACTGTGATGCAGGACAATAGCACATGCCCGTTCAGGAGAGAGATGTGGTCTTTCCTCATCGACAGAAAGTGCCAATTTTGCATATTCAGGAAGTTTTATACCCAGATCTGTGATCCATGGGACATGATCCCTGAAGTAACTGGGAATAACTGTGCTCAGAGAGGCACAACACCTAATTAATGTACTAAATGAGGCAAAGTAACCCCAGGGGTAGCTTATTTCCTGGGGATTAATTTGGTGCACTCCTTCCTCCTGCGTTACTAAATGATGCAATTTCTATCAGAGTTACACAGTGCAACAGGATGCAGATTTCATCTTCTTGTTTTCAAATTTCAACCCTGGTACTGTGTCGAGCTGATCATTAAAGTGTTTGTGTGGAGACTGAAAGCTTTTGGCTGAATAGATCCTGTTGAAGCAAAATAAGCTCCTATGTGGTTAGGCAGCTAACAAACAGCTTTATTGATCAATAAGGCACAAAGTGAGCCAAATGTGGTCCCAGCAGAGCCGGGCCCAATAAGGCTGCTCAACACAATCAATCCTAGTCTTTTATACCCTTAACCAAACAAGTTTGATGCCAGGGCATACCATGAAAGCAAGGTTCAAAGAGAAATGGTTATCAGCAAAAAAAGAAACAGGTTTTAGGGAGTGAGAGTTTCAACTCAAAATGATTCATTAACACATTCCAACAGCTCATCTTTCTGGCTTTTTTCTCACATTGGTGAAGGTCAATTCACTCACTGGCGTACGTGCAAAAGCAAGAAACTGAAATGGATTCTGTTATACAGAATGGCTTCTAGCTAAATATGAAATGATTTCCACAATCCCCTCTGAAATACTGCCAAGGTGCCTCAGATACCGTATCCCTATACTGTTTGCTATGGGCCAAATCTAAGGGCGTGTCTAAACTACATGGCTCCATCGATGGCTCCATCGATGGATTTAAATAATCACGGCTTCATTTAAATTTAAATGGCTGCCCCGCTGAGCCAACAAACAGCTGATCAGCTGTTTGTCGGCTCAGCGCGCTAGTCTGGATGCTCCCGCGCCTACCTGAAAGCCCTTTATCGACCTCCCCATTATGCCTCGTATTATGAGGTTTCCTGGGGAGGTTGATAAAGGGCTTTCATGTCAGCAGGGGAGCGTCCAGACTGCCCCGATCTGCCGACAAACAGCTGATCGGCAGAGCGGGGCAGCCATTTAAATTTAAATAAAGCAACACTTATTTAAATCACGGCTTCATTTCCCTTTGCCGAACAAACAAATCTACATGGCCCCGTCGACGGAGCCATGTAGTTTAGATGTACCCTAAGACTCTTGCCCTTCTGTTTAGCAGCCTTCAGGAACAAGAGAATCCCATGCTTCTTTTCAACGTGACAGCATGAACCTCTAGGTCATGAGACCTAGCGATGCTGAATGAAAAGTGTGCCTTGTGTTGTCCAGCACCCGCCTGGACAATTGAAGCTCATAAAAATCTGTCATTCTGTTAATGTGCAAATCTTGTTCTCATGGAGAAGTTCCCAAATATTTCAATACAAAAACACATGAGCCTTGATAAAACAATAAAACCCACTACAGAAATATTTGAGGTGATTGCAAATAATGTGGCAGATAACTGAGAATTGGTTACAAGAAATAAAAGGGACAATGTAACTAATACCTAACTTTAGAACCCAAATGAACCTAAAGTTCTGTGGTCTGACCATCTGGATGCCTGTCATCCAGAATCCTCCCCCAGTCCAATGATACTTTCCATTGCCTTCAGATGGTGTAATGCCTTCAGATGGGGTATATGTGTTTAGCAGACTGAAAGGGTGGGCTAGTACATTTCAGACATTTGACCTTGTCTCTTACAGCCACTTTTCTTTCGCAAAAATCATCTCCATCTTTGGATTCAGGAGACAATGTCTGACGGGACAAAGAATTTGGGCCTTTTGTTTGTCAAAATGTAGATATCTCACTCACACCCTTCTTCCTGACCAAGAATGGCCTCTTAACCAAGTGAGATATCTCATCTGGTTGACATCTGGCAGAGGCATCAAGTTTTGTTTTGTCTCTTAGGTACTGCTTTCTCCTTGCTTTTCTAAATTCAGAATTGCTTAGTAATGTTATGAAGTAGAATTATATGATACATGCAATACATTTTAGTAGGACAATGATGATCAGCAGATTATGAGCTTTGCATATAGAATGAGAGGCAGTGTTGCCACTCTCTTATATATAGGTTTCACACCACTCTCTCTCTACTGGCATGTGAAAGAAAGTTTGTCTAGTAGGTAGAACTTTAATCCAGCACTCTGTAATTTGGAAAACAGTTCTGGCTCAACTGCAGACCTACTTTACAACCTGGAAGCAAGACTTTTACTTTTTCTGTGCCTCTTTTCTTCATCTGTAAAATGAAGATATTATTGTTCTACCTAACATGGAAGTTGTGGCTATAAATACAATAAACATTATGAGGTGCTCAGAGGTATACTACATTGATGAGGACCATATAAGGACCTACAAACATTTATGAACCCTGTATTAAGACAGGCAAGTCTGGTTACTCCCAGTCAGAGATGGGTAAAGGGAGACAGAAAGAATTAAAGATCAACCAAAGGCACCCTGAATCAGTGAATGCTTTTGAAAATGCTGATCCCATGTAGCTGGAATGAAAAGAGGCAACTACATGTTACAAAGATTGGTGGATTTTTTTTTATACATCGCACAATTCCTACATTCATAAAGGAATATCTTTAATGTTTCATGATGGACTATGAAAACTAAAAATAAAGTTGCTAACACTTTTTTCATTTTGTATTTATAGGGAATGGAATTATATGAGAGCCTGGGTGTGAAGTATTTACCCACTTTTACTGAACGCATCAGCAAATCTTGAGCATTTTAGCTCCTTAGAGTTGCTTATAGAAGCTAAAAATACACAAGCTAGGAGTTTTGAGGGCCCCCTCCCTTAGCCCTTTGGTACTAACATATAGACAAAGCCTTGAAATCAACAGTTCCACTGCCCACCTCTTCTCATCATCACTTACAGTGCAGTGACCATTACACAAATGTGTCTAGAAATGGGAGAATTTCATTTGGACGTAATAATTTAGTGTAAAAACAATGAAACATTAGTTCACGTTAAATTATTCCCAAAAGCTTACACATTCTCCTGATAGTTTTGTCCCAAAATCGTGTGTGTGTCTCCGGGGAAGGATGTAAATGCCAGTCGCGAGGAACTAATGGTGCACCTTCCCTTTGTAATTGTTTGGCAAATAATTAGGGTTTTCAACTGTGAGGTGGCACATCCAGGTTTAATCCCCCTGTCTGTCCAATGCTAGGCACAGATGTGCACTTGGGATTCCGGCCTTTCCAGTAAGAATCCCAGCCACGAAGCAATGAGTTATTCCAGTCCTGTGTCTCCTACATAACTTCTCTGATCACTGGATTACTGTCTATAAGGGAAGCAGCAGCATTACTGCCTCGTCCACTCCATCCATTTTGTCTGTCTAGTCCTTCTTTGTCTTCACTTCCATGCTGAACTATACTCAGAAAGGAATCCAAATTTTGGTCCATGATTTAAATTTGCCAAACATTTTGGTAATACGGTAATTCCTCATTTAACACGTGCCCACTTAACTCGTTTTCGCAATAGCACGATTTTTTTTTTAGGGAACATTTGTTGAATTACACGACCATCCCTGGAATAACATGATTTCCCCAGCTGGCCCGTTGCTGGCGGCTGCGTGGGGCTTCCCCGTCCTCCCTGCAAAGCGGCGGAGGGTTTGCCGCTCACCGCGCCGTTCCCCACTGACTCCCCCTCACCGGATGCCTTGCCCCGTCCACCCCCTGGACTCAGTGCAGGTCCCGGCAGACCCATCACAGGGGCATACTCCCAACCCAATCCGCCTCCCCTCACCATCCCTTCCCTTCCCCAGAGCCATCTCCCCTCCCTGCTGTAACCCAGTCCCCTTTCTCCCCCAACCTAATGTCCCGATCCCAACAGAGACCACAGCTTGAAATGCAACCCCCACCTTTTCCATTATTTTCAATGGGAAAATTGACCCCGCATAACACGTTTTCACTTAACACGATCATTTTCTGAAGCAGATCTAGAGTGTTAAATGAGGAAATACTGTATTCAGACTTGGATCAAGATGGGCTGAAGTTTTTCTACGCACCTGTGATCTCAGAAATCAGCTGTTGGCCCAACTCTGTCCATTTCATACTCCTAGAATCCCTGCTGTATCAATCTTTCCAAAAGATCTAAGCTCCTGAACCTCTAATGATTCAGTTGATCAACACCGACTCGATGATAAGACATTATCTTTCTGCTTAATGTACATTGTAGAGGAAACTCACACTATCGGCACTATCTTGGATTGAGTTCAGGACAGCGGCTGCAAACACACACACACCGCAATCTCGCTTGAAAAATATCACCCTTGCTGCGATTTGTTTTGTTGTCCCCTTCACTTATATTAAAAATTGTTGTGTTTGATATCTCCTTT